CCGACAATTTTCAGGAAAATTATTATATTTTTTGAGACACCACTTACAGGGCTCCGGTGGGCAGAGCAGGGCGGAGAGGAGAGGCAGAGGAGAGAGTAAAAAAACGTAGAAAAACACAAATATATCCAACTAATATCAAAAATTCTTGCTGCTCGCCGGATGAAAGTCTGGAAACGTAAATTATCTTATTTTTTTTGGAAACTGCTGGCTGGCTGGCACGACGCAGAGCTGCTCGTCGACTGCGCGCTGCCGGGCTATCGGAAAAATCAATAAATTTGTGGGTGGGACGGAACGGAACGGAGCAGAGCGGAGCTGAGCAAGAGTATAATGGGATACCGACGGAATGGCAATGGCAACAGTGGCCGCTGAACAACACTTTTGCCACAACAGCGCACAGCAACAACAACCACAGAAAACAATAATATTAACCAACACACACGAATTTGTTTATACGATTTGTATGTCAACAGGCGGGCAACAACCGCCTAAGCAATTAGCAAAAAGGTAAAGTCAATAACAATTTGATGAAGGCTATGCACAAGACAGACAGACACACACACACACACAGAGCAAGCAGAGCATGAGACAACCAGAAAAGAAGAGCTAGAGAGAGTGAGAGACTTGGCGCAGCAAGAGCGAGGAGACATTCGCTGGAGTGCGCGGCGCGCACACATCAAAGAGAGATGAGATGTAATTGAGAGCTGTCTGCAAAAGCTCTATACATGCGTGTATGTGTGCCTGTGTGCGGGTGGTTGTGCGTCAGTGTTGCCACCCACCTAATCAGACGGCAATGGCACTCCCTTGACCTTTAACGTGGTACGTACGTGATTAATAAATAATAAACCAATTGCAACAGCTGAGCAAAAACAATTAGAAGAGAACAAAAAAAAAACCACAACAAAGCTGAGTTTCGTTTTCGGTGTGACCGAAGTCTGGTGGCCAGAGACTTGCTGGATTTTTTTCTTTTATGGATAGTAAGACTAACTGTATTTACAGTGTGCGAAATGTGATTTGGCCAAGTTCATATTTCCATTGCACTGCATACATTTTAATCAACACCTGCCCAAAAAAGTATGCTACATTCCCAGGATATTTTTCAAGGGTAAAACTCTAAAAAAAAACAAAAGAAAAATCTCCAAGCTCTGTGTCACTAGTAACACTAATTAAAACTAAGTTATGCCCTTTATTTACTCACTCTCGTTTAGGTAGCTGAGTGGCGTCAATTCACAATTTTTGGACACATTGTAACGGGAGCTGCCTTGGCGTTTCTCCTTGCGCACCAGCGGCGTTCCGATGGTTTGGTTTAGTCCCTTGGTGATCTGCGTTGGCGGTGGCGCATCACGCGGGGGCGTACTGTCCCTGTCTTTGTTAGCCTGAAAGAGTGTACAGCATTAGTAAATCGTGGCTACATAAATCGTATGGTATATTGGTAGTAATTTGGTTTTCTTACTGAATAAAACAAACAAAGAAAAAAACTAGGTAACAAAAGAAAGCAAAATGCATCAGATATTAAATATTAAATTCTTAACATAGCACTTGCAAAAATTACGAGAGTACGCCTAGAGTAGAGATCATCCGTTGAAGTCACCGTATCACCGTCACTTTTTTTTAAAGAGCATTTACCTTGGTCTTTGCGAATCCTTGACGCCTAAGTCGCGCTGCCTGTGGGTGTGTTTTATTCTGAGTTTAGTAATGCCAAACAGATAAATGTGCACACGGGTTTGGGGGGCGGAAATTGGTTGGCTGCTGGTAGCTAACACGGTACTACGTAAGGATCATACTTGTGTGTTATTTTTACAAACATTTAGAAGTCAGTCACAAAGTATTTTCGTTGCTTCTAAGGATACCTTTTCTATTTAAATGTGGGGAGAGGTGTGCTTCTTCTTAATCCGATATTATGCTAAATATACTCTTCAGGATTGTAGTAAGGAGGGTGTCCACTGATGATCTAAAAGCACGCAAGGGTCCACTCTAAGGCAACTAAAATTTCCCCCTATCGATTTCCATGCATGTTTCTATAATCGATTATTAATATTTGTGATCCCCGCGATTGATGGCGCTTTTGATAGATTCGATTTTGATTTTGATTTGTTATCCAAAAGCATTTCCACAATTGGCAACCTTTTGAGAGGGCTAATTGGTGTCTTGGTCATTTGGCTTGTTCGTTGGGCGGGAAGAGGTAGGGGGTAGCTTAACACACATCATTTTTCAGCGATAAGATTAGATATAGTTTGTTAAGGTTTTCGACTTTGCGGCACAAGGAAGTATTGTACTTTATGGAGTGGGCATAACACATACATATGTACACAAACACATCCATATATATATATATATATAATATATGTATTTACATTGATTTTATAATGTTTTATAATTTACGTCAAATAACTGTTAGGCACAAGGCATGCGTAGAGGTAAGGTGACGATAGGCGATAGGCAATAGAGAGAGAGTCAGAGAGTAGGTGGTGGTGGTGTTGTAGACACTGCATTCGCTAGACACGACTCACCTCGCTGCTGATGGGTACACCGCCGCTGGTCACCACAAGGGGTATGGCTGACGTTGTAGTTGTTGTTGTTGTTGCTGCTGGTGTTGGTGCTGCTGCTGCTGTTGTTGTTTCTGTTGGTGTGGCTATTGTTGCTGTTGTACTAAAGTTACTGTTATTCTCTTTGATACCGTTAGTGGCCGATGTCGCTATGACTATGCTACCGCTGCTATCGGCGCTGACACCGACGCCGACGACGCCGCCGCTGCTGCTGTTGTTATTGTTATTTGTGACTTTCGGCGTCGCTGCAGATGATTCTGCTGACGATGCTGCTGCTGCTGCCCCTATTGTCGCTGCTGCCGCCTCTGATGTGGTTGCTGCTGACGATGCTGCTGCCGCTGTCGTTGTTGTTGTTTCTAACGCCTCGTTATCCATAATACGCTGCTGTGTCAGCTTTAGCTCTTCCGATATTCCTTATAGCTCTTACCAAAAAACAAACCAACCGAAAAACATAAAATAACAAACAAATATGACAGCTGGGCCGGCCGAATCAAATGATTGCTATCTGAAAATTATATTTGCACTGTGAAGTGTTGGAAAGAGAGAAATTAACGTAGCAATTAACCAAAAGAAACGGACAGAAAAAAAACAATAAAATATCATGCTACAAAATTCACGACACACACGCATACACATACATACATACGCTTTTGGTTGATTACCAATAAAGAATCATGGCAATCGGTTTTTGGAACTTCTTATTCGAAACGCAACAGTGTCTCTGCTAACTGGATCACTGTCCAGCACAAATGGCGGAAACCCGCTTCGAATCAGATCAGAACAGAACAGAATCCAAAGTTGTCACAAGAAGTCCTCACTGTGGCCGCAAATTAATGCCCATGCCATGCCATGCTATGATTTTCTAGCAAACACAAATCCGGTTCTAAACGGTAATAAACATGTTCTCAAGCTTCTTCCACACACAACATGCACTTGGCCCCCGGGAGAGACGAGACTCCACTCCACTCCAATGGACTCCACCAAAGAGGGCTCTGCTGGCTCTCCACTGGCTAAGAGGGCAGGTGTCGCCTCCGGGGCAGCTTCTGTCTTCTGTCCCTTCTCCGAACACCAACAACACAGTAATAATCAGACATTTTAATTTTTTGCACAACTTACAGCAAAACGGAAATAAATAACAAAAATTCCATAACACACAGGCAAAACGTCAGAATGAGAATCAGAAAGCAGAGAAACAGAGAGCGATACGGACGAGCAACAAGTTGCGAAGCAATGGCCGTCGTCGAATCAGAGTTGCCAGACAGAGTTGTCATGCGAACGAGCGTGAAGAGCATTTTTTGGGTGGTGGTGGTGGTAGTGCTGTTGGTGTGCGGAATAGCGTGCGGGGGGATTGTGGGCTGGTGGGGGGGTCGGGGTGTGCTGGGATGGCATTCTTTAACACAAAAATATTGTTAAGCGCAAAGTTTTCATATACTCATACTTTTAGTGGTCCCCCTTTAACCCAGAGCGAGAGAGAGAGAGAGATAGCAAGTGAGAGAGCGCCGCCAGAGTAAAAATAAAATTAATGTGTACTATGCATAATTAATAGTTTGTGTTGCATCAAGACTCGAAACTCAATTAATAGATGGGTGCAAAAAGCAAATGAGGGGGAAATACATATATACTCAAATTGTGAATGTCAAGGGTTTTTTTTGGGATGGTATGGTATGGTGCTCTTGGAGGAGCAGGAAATCAGGGGATCGGCTCTATTTACCGCCAGAAGCTGCAAGAACTTGTTCAATTTGCCCCTGCTGAGATTCAGGCTCGAGAACATCAAACTTATCGCTGATAAAAGCCGTTTCTTTACGTAAAAATGCGAATTCTAACAAAACGCACGCACACACACACACTCGCAAACACACGTACGCACACACACACTTGCTGCTGCTGCTGGTACTCTCGCGTTAATTCACTCGAGGCTATGTATTATTTGCGCTTCACTTTTTCATTTGGTGCGCTGCAATTTCTTCTGATTGTGATTTTCACATGCGAATTTCACAAGCTCTCTCGCGAAATATCGCACTTCACAGCACGGCGTACTATCAGCAGCGGGGTCAAGTTCACCTTTTCTTCAAGAACACACAACATCAACGGCTTGTTTAACTATATTTAATATTTTATGTAAACTGTTTTATTCACGCAACGTTGTCGAGCCTGCTCAATAGAAAATAGAGGTGCCAGGGCTGTACACTCTAGATCGGGCTGCCAGAGGGTCTCAAAATTCGATAATTTCCGTGTCAATTCTTTTCCCAGCTTTCACATAAATATTAATATGCATTTAAAAATGTCCTGAGCTAGTTGCAGTGATTAGACTTACATAATTTAACTAGTTTTTGTTATCAAACCAGGGCGGCAACAACCGCTGCTCAGAGGCAACTCTGAATGTGAAACCAGCTGGCAGCACCGTCAAATTATTGTTGTTATTGGCTGTGGAGGCGATGTGTTTATTTTTAATTAATAAGTTTTAATTAATTAAACCCTTTGAAATGCAGATAATAATTAAAGTTCTTACGGGCAAGGACTGCACGCTCGAGGTGAGTGACGAATAATAAATACGAGTCAGCATGAATTTGCCCTACTTTTCGTAATTTTTGGACAGGTCTTGCCCACTCACACCATTTTGGAGGTGAAGCAACAAATTGAGACAGCACTAAAAATAACTGCGGCAAATCAGAAGCTACTCCTGATGGGACGTCCCCTGAACAATGATCTGACAATTTCTTCGTACGCAAACATCAAGGAAGGCACCAAAATCAATCTGGTGGTGATGAAGCCCAGCCTGCGCGACTGCATCCTTCGCGGCTTTCGCAAATTCTACAACGAGCACCAGTCGGAGCGCCTGACCAACGAATTCATGGCCGATTTCGAAAGGAAACTAAAGGAGCACAGCCTGGACGACTTGGAGCGTTTTGCCGAAAGCACAATAGGCAAAGTGGAAACATAAACTTGACCCCCCATTCCTCAAACCCCATGTATATTTATTTCAAATGTGTCAGTAAAAACACTTGACTGAGAAGAATATTTCCTTGTTTTTACTCCCGTCTGGCAACCCTGATTCCGGCCAGCAGCGGAACCATTGACAGCAGTGTGCGAAGGTAGAGCGAAGAAGAGCAGAAAAGAGAATGCGAGTGCTGTCGTGCAAAATTCTTGGCAGAGTTGTTAACTCCACGCTGTCCACCGTCAATCCAGTGAGATCTTTTTCCAGAAATCTTCCAGCCATGGTGAAAGTGAGTTGTTGCCGCAATCAAATCATCCCTCTTCCCACACAGATGTGGGGCCGGGGTTCAATTACATAAGGCAGTACCCTATGCTTAAATATTGATTCGATGCGGAAGCGAGAATTGCACGAATGTGCAGCGCTGCGCTTCAAGGTTACGCACACTAACATTTCTTTTTCTCGATGTGCGTGTGTGTGCGGCTGCTATTTTAGGTTGGAGATGCTCTTCCCGCAGTGGATCTGTTTGAGGATTCCCCGGCCAACAAAATCAACACCGGCGACCTGGTAAATGGCAAGAAGGTGATCATCTTTGGTGTGCCCGGAGCATTTACACCCGGCTGCTCAAAGGTAATAACACATTGGCCTTTTGCCGAAAATTGGCAAGCATCGAATAATCAATATCATTAAATCACAGACACATTTGCCGGGCTATGTGAGCTCCGCCGATGAGCTGAAATCCAAGCAGGGAGTCGACGAAATTGTCTGCGTGTCGGTGAACGATCCGTTTGTGATGTCTGCCTGGGGAAAGGAGCACGGCGCTGGCGGCAAAGTGCGCCTCCTGGCCGACCCAGCCGGTGGCTTCACCAAGGCTCTAGATGTTTCCATTGATCTGCCCCCACTGGGCGGTGTTCGCTCCAAGCGCTATTCGCTGGTCGTTGAAAACGGCAAGGTCACCGAATTGAATGTGGAGCCCGACGGCACTGGCCTCAGCTGCTCCCTGGCCAACAATATCGGCAAGAAGTAATCACAGAGAGAGGAAAACCAACTATTAACGCTTCCAAAAATACTTGCAAAAATCACTCAATTAGTAGGACTCTAGGCCTAGGGGAAACGATATCAATTCTATCTTGGAAATAACTATGTAGAACATATAATATATGCGATTAGACAAGTTATATCCTAAAGTGTTTGCTTTAATATCTAGGGAGGGGGGGCTCTTAGTCTTATCTCTATATCTTAGGGCTAGCGGTTGTCGGTGTTGGGTGCAATCTTTAGCGAGAGCAGCTTGCCATAACCGCCACGTCCGGCGTCGTAGTCTGTGCGATATTCGTCTCGCACCTGGCCGCCGGTTTTGCCGCGTCCGTATTGACGGCCTTCAATGAAGCCGGCATCCCAGTCGACACGAATCAAGCGATCGTCCAAGCGAGTTCCATTCACAAATCTGCAATAAAGAGAAAACACACTCATTCCATGCAATTTCTTTTGTTGTTGTTTTCAACAGACGCCTGCCTACCTCATGGCGGACTCAGCTTCGCTTCGGATGTAGTACTCCACAAAACAGAAGCCGCACGGTGTCTTCTTGTATTTGTCCAGGCCCATTACGATTAGCCGCACATCGCCGCAGCGGGAAAACAGTTCGTGGATTTGTTCTTCAGTTGTGTAGAAACTCAAGTTTCCCACGTACAGTGTGCAAGAATCTTTCAGAGAACGCTCCTGCTCCGAGCGTGAGCCCTGTGGATTGGCCAAATATGTGAGAAACGGTTCCATGCAACTCAAATAAAACCCACCTTAAAGTGCTGATCACGATAGGAGCTCAGTTCTACAGAGGTCGCCATATTTGTAAGTAAAATTAAAAATTAAAAAAAGTAATATTTTTTGTGCCTGTCTATAGAGCAGTGTGACCGCGTCCGACCCTCAGAAATATACCAAAATATACCGTCTCATTTTCAAAATATACCGTAAGTATACTGACGAATTCAATTTCTATTATACATAGAATATTGTATACCCTATTTCGTTAATTTAATATTAAATGAAGACCTATTCTCAAATTGATATGTTTTAGACATATTTATGCATATAATTAGTGTCTTGTAAATATGTCTCGATCTCGATACCTATAATTGGTCTCTGTAAAAAGACAATAAGCTGCAACGTATCGTTGACATTGCTTTCAAACAGAAACTGAATGGCTTGGTATTCTTTGGTATTTTGAAAAACGCGCTAGAGTATTTTGTCATCTATTATTCTCCCAGTTCTTGGCTCGTTGTTATTATTAAATATATGGATATACTTCGTACTTAATGCAAAATTCAATCAATTCGGTAGGCAACAAGCGACAGCTGCGATTCCGTGGCGATGTCAGTGCCAGCTGTCGCGTGGAGGAGCTCCATCAGCTCCAAGAAGAGAATAGACAACAGAAACCAAAGCAGTTGCCGCTCTCCCAGGATGACGTTGCAGCGGCGACGGCGTCGTCGGCGGCCCAGCAGCGACTCCAAAGTGGTAAAAACCATTCATATTCTTGCAATTCTAATATAAACTGATCCTTGTGGATGTTATAGGACCCACAGAGACCGGTACGACAACCTTTCTGGACTTTTTCAAAGTGGAAATGACACGCGGCTACATGCTGGAACACGACGAGGAACGGTATTCGGCTCGACGCCAGAAGATCTACAGTTTCATGAGGATACCGCGCGACCTGGAACGCTTCATGATCTATGGGATAATGCAGTGTGCCGATTCCTTTTTCTACATACACACATTTCTGCCCGTCCGCTTCCTGTTGGCGGTCTGGGCTTTGGTCACAAGGACAGCGGCACGGATTTGCCGGCTACGCAGCAGCGGACAGCGTCTATTGTCACCCGCCGAGATCTGTGATCTGCTGAAGGGTGCCATCTGGATAGCAGTGACGCTAATCATGCTGCTCGTGGACACGAATCGAGTGTATCACATCATTAAATCGCAATCGATTATCAAACTGTATATATTCTACAATATGCTGGAGGTGGGCGATCGTCTGCTGTCGGCCTTTGGCCAGGATACCATGGATTCGCTTTTCTGGACGGCAACTGAACCAAAGAACTCCAAGCGGGAACACTTTGGTGCCTTCACGCATGTTCTATTGACCCTCGCCTATGTGCTTCTGCACAGCGTTCTAATCATGTTTCAGGTGGGTTCTGCACAGCTCTACTTTTATGTACATTTATAGATTGGTTTCTTATAGGCCACCTGCCTGAATGTGGCTCTCAATTCGAACAACAAGGGCCTGCTGACCATTATGATATCGAATAATTTTGTGGAGCTCAAGGGTTCGGTTTTCAAAAAGTTCGACAAGAACAATCTCTTCCAATTGACGTGCAGCGATGTCCGGGAGCGTTTCCATCTATCCGTTCTACTGTTTATCGTGATTATTCAGACCATGAAGGAGTTCGACTGGAGCTTCACGCAGTTCTATGTGATGGTGCCCGACTGCATAGCGGTGCTCTTCACGGAGATACTCATTGACTGGGTGAAGCATGCCTTTATCACGCGTTTCAACGAGCTGCCCGAGGGCATATATCGCGAGTATACGACAAGTCTCGCGTATGACATGACCCAGACGAGGCAGAAGCACGCCTTCTCGGACCACTCGGACTTGGTGGCACGCCGCATGGGCTTCATACCATTCCCGTTGTCTGTGGTGCTCATCAAGGCCATCTACACGGCCGTATCGTTTCACAATCTGGCTGCATGGCTGCTCTTCCTGCTGGCCTATCTGTTTGCCCTGGGCCTGAGGATCTGCCTCACGATCTGTGCCCTGGGCAAGGCCTGCAAACTGATGAAGGAGCATCAAACGGAACGCAATAGTTCCACGCCAAGCAGTATGACTAATATGCCTTTTGTTGGCGGTGCAGCCAGCGGCAATTCTGTGACTGGACAGCCATTCCATCACCCTCATTCGAATCACAATAACAACAACAACAACAGCACTGCTACCAAGCCGCCAGCGTCAGCCAACGCGACGACAAGCGTCATTACGTTGACCCCACCAAATGCTGCCACACATCCGCACGACATGAGCCTTAATTTCTCGCGTTCATCGGTGCAGTCCACGTCCACACCCAAGAAGGCCGTCAGCGAGGAGGAGCTGGATGTTACCAACTCACTGGAGCTGGGGGCCACAGCTCTCTTCTCCAACAGCGATGTTGATCTGGACGATGTGTGCCTCAACGAGCAAGTGACCAACACCAATGCCGGTTCTGCCGTCCAGGAAGTCTACCAGGAGCAGGATCTGGCACGCAGCCAGCCGGATATGCAGCAGCTGAACGATTCTGGATCGTCCGGCGATGCCAGCAGCGCAATGGCCACCAAGCAGGCGGCCAAGCGTCCGCCCAAGCGCACACACAAACGCTCCGAATCGGAGCCGCTCATCCCGAGTCTGGCCGACAAGACGGGCGCTTCTGGGGGGATGGCTGGCAGCAATCAAACGACACAGCTCTAGCCATAAATCGATGCTAAATTATTAACTTTTGATTTTATCGTGTGTTAATTGCGTTTTTGATTTTTTTTTTTAAACAATTTAGTTGCCGTTTTGTAATAGAATACGTAAGGATAAGAGAAATGGATTTAGTTATAGTTTTATTAGGGAAAATATGATTGAATATGATTGAAATATGATTTGTTCCCTAAACCAGTTTTCCCAGAAAGTACATTTATAAATGCCTTGTTCTGGGCGAGTGAGTTTTTGGAGCTGCCTAAGGCGGATTTGAAATTCACTACTGCGAGATATCGTTGCCTGATGGATGGTCCATTCGAGCTTCTGGCTTGCCGTTTGTTGGATAAATCCGATTTAGGTCTCATTTTTCAGTCATCTTTTGAGGCCCTGCCTGATCGCAAGGGGGATGAGCAGAAGGATTCAAGAGCGCTTTAAAGAACGCCCTGCCACTGAAAAAGATGATAAAAAGCAAGTGGATAAGTCTGGTGATCAGAAGCAGGGCATACTTTAAAATGAAAGCATTTTTTGGGTCTGGAAATTTGTATTTTTTCAGCATAGGGATTGTTTTTGGTATATCGATGCTGTATCGATTTATACATAATAAATTGAAAAAGTGTTTCGATTTATTTATCGTTTGAGTTTACGCTTTCGATTAAAAGGTTTCTGATATCGTTTAACGCTTATCGAGGAAATAGCTTGAAGAGTTTATCCATTTATTTATCGTTTAAGCGAAAGATTTCGATGAAAGGTTTCCGATATCACTTATCGCTTATTTAGGAAATAACTTTTTTATCCATTTGTTTATCGTTTAAGAGTAAGAATTTGATAAATGGTTTCCGATATCAATAAAATGAATTGATAAGCGTTTATCGATTTTCCTATCGCTGGTCTGTAAGCTTTAGATACATTTTTTGGGTATTCTTATATCATTTGATGATAAAATCTGACAAAATATAGAAATTTCCCTGGAACATAGACGTAAGCATCAAAATTAATATAAATAAATCAAGGAAAGACACTGATTTATGTATAGTTTTTATATAGGCTTTTGACTATCGCTTATCTAGGAAATAAAGAGATTTAATCGATTTTCTAATCGTTTATGATAATAAACACTCTCAAAACATTCAATAGGAGTCTACATACAAAGAAAGACATCGACTTATTTATCGTTTATATCTAAGCTTTCGATAAAACTTTTTAATCGGGTGTTCCCGAATCATTCTAGAACTATAGAAACGACCCTCTCATATCCAAGCAAAACATCAAAAGGAGTACCATATCGATTAATTTAATTATTCACGGCTCTCAGAAAAGTTTTGTGCTAATATTTGATTGGCATTCCTGGCAACCTTTGGCCTTATACTAAGCTCCACTCCCACCCACTGGCCTGGCGTTGAACAACAAATGGATAAGATAACCCACAGAAATCCTCAGGGCGAAAATTGCTTTCAGCTTAGCGAGAAATTGTTTTCTGGATTTGGCTCCAAAAAAATGGCTCTCTGTGTGATGGTGGAGGGGGGCCTGGGTGCTCGTCTTGGTTTTCATGAATGAAAATGGTTTCCCGCGTTGTTTGTGTTTGCACGCGTAGAAAAATCAACAAGCTGCAAATAAGGGAGCGAACGGTGGGCACCCCCCGAGCCCCCCCCCCGTCCCCACCGGCTTTCAAAAGATTACACGCGCGTGCACGCACAAGGGCGCTCCATACATCTGAGGAGAGGGCGATGGGCCCTACGCTCTAGCTGGGAGGCGTTTCGTTTTTATGAATGAAATTTTACGCTGACCTTGGATGAGCGCATCGCGCGGTTGCGTCAGTACCCTGACAAAAAGGGGAACACTTTCGAAAAGCGGCCCCCCCACTGCCTGCAGGCCAGGCGCATGCTCACCAAAACGTTCGAAAATAATTCCCCTGATATCCCCTGGCTAGGCATTTTTTCATTCATTCATGAAAACTCCTGCTTTCTTTTCATGAATGGCTCTGGCTCTGGCTCTCGCTCTCCGTTTCTCTTTGGCCTTCAAGGACACGCCGCTCCCACAACGATGGCGTCCTTATTGATTTTCCCTTTTGCATTTCCACATTTTCCACATTCGCTTTCTGCGTAGGCGATCCGTGCGCCGCGGCGCACGGGTTTAATGTAACATTTCCCTTTTTTATGGGCTTCCTCGCATTTAAAGTCGGGCGCCCTGTGGTCTGTGGGTTGAAAACCTGAGCAAATTGCCAATGAATTATTGTGGTCATTAGGTGGGATTTCTTGCATAATCCTTAGGGGGCGGCTGTGGCCCGGAGTAGGGTAGCTTTTGCATCTGCTTTGTTAGGGAATTTGGTGGCATTTCTAAAGGAATTTGGTCTCTGGCTGACAGGGCGTATGCTTATAATTTTTTTTACAAGATGTGGGAAGTTTTCAAATAGCAAGGCAATAATTTAATCCTTTCGCAAGTTCTTTCAGATGCTCTGAAGCTATGGAAATAATGTACTTATGAATAAGAGCTTATCATAGAGCTGCTTAAAAGCCATTATGTACCTCATTATGGACAAGAAATTGTGTACAACCTTCAGGCACAAGCCTGTAGAACTGCAATTCATTAGTTAATAATTTCTTAGATTTTACAGCTTTTAATATTTTGAATTTCATATCAAACTTTCTTAAAAGTAGAATTTCTAAACATCTTTTTGGTTCAATATTGTCTTTTTGGATAGCTATAAAATGTATCTAGAACTGAAACTGATTCGTAAATAATTTCTTAGATTTTACAGCTTTAAATATGTTGAAATTCATATCAAATTTCCTTAAAAGTAGAACTTAAATAATTTCTTAACATCTTTTTGGTTCAATATTGGGGTTTTGGATAGCTATAAACTGTATCTAGAACTGAAACTGATTCGCAAATAATTTCTTGGATTTTACTGCTTTAAATATGTTGAAATTCATATCAAATTTCCTTAAAAATATAACTTAAATCATTTTTAAACATCATTTTAGCTTCTATATTGTCTTTTTGGACTGATATAAACTGTATCTAGAACTGAAATTCATTAGCTAATAACTTCTTAAATTGTACAGCTTTAAATATGTTTAAAAATCCTATATTATTGCTCTCTTAAATCCTGCTCCCCCAGGAGCTGTAAAAACTTTGGCAAACTTGACGCCTGACGTCTTGATTGCATATCAAAAATGTGAGTGTGTGCCTTGGGTCAATAAGCATAGTTTTGTGGTAGAGCCAGAGCCGGAGAGAGAGAGAGTAAGAGAACCTTCAATAATATCCGGCCGGCAGCCGGCAGCTTCTTGGCATGCGTTAAAAATAGCCTTGAGAAAGTCAAGAGCAGGGAGCAGAAGAAGAGTACAACCCAAGCAAAGGAAAGTGAACGCGTAGTTTTATGAATGAACGAAAGGCCAGGCAGGCACCGCACCCAATGCTTCACCTTGCTCTTGACTGCCGCTTTACCCCATAATTTATTGATTTTTCTTTTGGAGGGGGCATGCGCACTGGGGGCAGCTCCAGCTTCAGCCAGCCAGCCAGCCAGCCAGCCAGCCAGCCAGCCAGCTGCTTATCTGTGACACATTGTCGTCAATGGAGCGCCCTCTCTGCACGATGCACCCCCAAAAAAGACTGTTGCTTCTCCACTGACGTCATAGGAGCAAGGAGGCAGGCTTTAATCAGACACAAAGGAACAGAGAAATGAATGGTGTGGGCATTCAGATTAGATATTGATGCGGCGATCATGGGAGAATTCACGGAACCAGTGATAGCGCTCGAGGTGCAACTGCACCGACTCCCCAAACACATACAAGTGTACAGGCATAAAGTCGTACTGCTCATCGTCGTCATTCTCATTTTCGTCATCATACAGATCAGCTTCATCGTCGGAGTACTCCTCATTCGATAGCAGGACATCGACAACAATCAGGCAGTGCAGCAGGAAGATGACACTGCAGACCAGAGAGCACACCGCCTGAGCGCGCAGATAATCAAAGAAGGGATGCACTGGCTTCTCCGGCATATTGGGATCATCCATGTGAATATACATCATGTGGAAGTCCTCTTCGGCATCCTTCAGCGTCATCAGCGAGATAGTCACGTACAGTATGCAGCCGGCCATTGACCGCAGGATTTCCTCGATAGCGCTGGCCGGGTTTCCAGTGCAGATATTGATGCTGGCAAAGAATACCAGCACGGTGAAGGCATAGAGTGTGACCGTGAAGAAGTAGTGCGTCACTTGGTCCATCACCGGAAGGAAGCTCAGATCCTGGACCATGAAACCACTTATATGGAAGCCCATTAGAAAAATGTTGGCCACCGTCTCGGCGGTATAAAATACGAACAGTATAGGTCGCATGGTGGATCGATTTGTATGGGCCAGACACAGGGCCTGACAGACATCGCACGGCAAGCTTTTATCCCCAAAGGAAGGCAGCTCTGATGCTCCTTGGATGTTTGTCTGCTTGGCTGCTCCTGCTGACACATCCACAGCTGGTTGGGTAGGTCTGTCGCTGACAGATTTGTCGTCAATAGGCGGCTCGCGTCATGGGCACAGCTGCAAGAACACAAAATCATGTATAAAAAGGGGCAAAAGGACCTCCCCCCCAAGTACAAGTACATACAAATACAATGGAAGGAGATTAGAGACTCATGCGTCCACCACTCGAGAACTCACGAAACCAGCGATATCGTTCGAGGCGCTCCTGTACATATGCACAACAAAAGTACAAACGTACGGGTATATAGTCCTCGTCTGAATCATCGGATGCGTCATACACCTCCAAATCATAGTCCGCCTCCTCATGCGACAGCATAACGTCAATGACAATGAGACAGTGCATCAGATAGATGATGCAACCGACCAGGGAACACACCGCCTGAGCATGTAGATAGGCAAAAAATGGATGCACAGGCTTCTCCGGTAGTTTGGGATCCCCCATGCCAAGGTACATCATATGGAAATCATTCTCCACATCCTTTAGTGTCATCAGCGACATAATCAAGAACAATATGCAGCCAGCCAGTGAGCGTAGGAACTCCTCCAGCAGGACTGCCTTGTGGCCAGTGCTCGCATTAATGCTGGCAAATGCTGTGATCACGGTGAAGACATAGAAGTTCACCGTATAGATGTAGTATGTGGTCTGATCCTTCAGTGGCAGGAAGCTCAGATCCAGCGACATGAAGCCGCGTATATGGTAGCCCATCAGTATTATGTTGACCACCGTCTCGACGGTATAGAACAGGAAAAGTACTGGCCGCAACATCGTACGTCTAGCGACTTCTATAGGCAGTATTGCAGGGCACTCCTCTGACAGATCTCGCACAGAATGTTTGACAGGGTCCGACACGGCACGGCACGACACGACACGCTTTTGTGTTTTGTGGGTCCGTCTCGTCTCAGTTTGAAAGTGCTGCCTGCCTGGGCTCATCATAAAAAAAAACCCACTTCATATTTGCTGCTGCTTCTTGGTGCTTCTGTTGTTGCGTCTGTCTCCAAGTGCCGCGCTGCCGTTTGCCGTCGTGGTTTTGCTGGAAACAGTAGCAACATTTTCTTGGCAGTTTGATGCTGTTGACTGCTGTTGACGGCGATTATGTTGATGACGCGAGAGACCGCAACGAATTTACGCGCAATTCTCCACCGTGCTTCAGCTCAAGTGTCGAGTAAGCATTTAAATATACGTCCATACAATACTGGCGCCAAAATGTTAGTATGCCAAGGCTTATCTTCTGAATTGAATCGTCCCCCATCATATCGATATCTGCGACGGGGAATCTTTATTAAGACTTGTTTATGATATTTCGTACGCTTTACAAGTAGTTTCTTCATGTTTTTTCGTATCATTTGCAAATTGTAGTCCCGAAACGGTTGTTGCAAAGCGCTGCACATCGTTGAAATGTACTAATGCCTTTTGTACCAAATACCAATTCTATTTTCAGTGACAGGTCCAGTGGTATCTTAATTTGTGCCCATTTTTCTTCCTAATTTATTTACGGCTTGTCAAAAAGGTGTGTTTTTGATCTTCCATGTAAGCTTTTGCTCATATTTTCTTCTCTTAAAGCTCTGCTTGTTGATTAACTAGTGCTGTGCATTCCTAGAAATCCGTGGCGATCCGTTTAAATTTGTTCCGAAATTCGAATATTTTCGCATTGGGGTAAATTAATCTTGGCCAAAAACACAGAAGCCACACTTGCAGGCAGCAAAGGAAAATACAAATCAGTTGCTGTTGCTTCTGGGCTGCCTTCTTCTGCAGTTTGTGGCCACTGGATTGCCCATTGCCTTCTGCCCGGTGTGCGCGCGCGTGTGTGTGTGTGTGTGTGTTTGCGCGCAAAGTAAAAGGGTTAATTCACTTGGCCACAGCTGAGAAGGAGCCTTTTCGACTGCGTCATCTCTTGTGGCTTCTTACTTGCGGTCGCGTCGCGTCGTCGTCGTCGGTCGTTGGTGCGGGCGGCGGGGGGGGACACAGTGGCTGCTGCACTTTTGACAAGCGAACAGCGTTAAGCAAGTTTAAGTGGTTGCCGAGGAGAGCCACAAAGGCTTTTTCGTTTTTGCCTTTATCCCCCAGTCGAAATTCCAGGGATCACAAATGAGAGAGGGCCCCAGCCCCCCTGCCCCCATTTCGTTCCCTGCACAGTAGTCACTTCTCCGCCGTCAAGTTGAACTTAAGCGCGTGTGTGCCCCTGAATGTGTCCCTCGCCGCAGTCATTTTTTTTTTCGAGTGATTTAGTGAGTGCGTTCGACGGCCATCTTGAAAATGTTGTGCGTGTAATTAGGCCTAGAACTAAACGTAACCCCAAAAATGTGAACCCCAAAATAGAGGAAAAAACGGCCAAACAGGTAAGTCTGAAAAAAACACAAATCTTAAGAATATTTAAATAGAGAATCGGCATGCGCCCTCCCCGCCCCTCGCGCTCACAATTAGGAGAGTCCAAACTCTTATGTAATCTGCAAATTGCTCGCGTTACGCCCCTGCCAGGAGGGGCATGGCAGCCGGCAAATGCGCCATTACATACAGTTAAATGCAAGTGCATAAATAACAATTATTGCGGCGCAGCAACAATAATAGGCCCGGGCAGCGCTCTCAGGTGTCAATTGTGGGTCTCTGAAACGTGACCGGCGGCCATTTTGCCGCGGCCACTGCACCGCTGATCGCCATACATACATATATCGGCGGCATATAATGCCCGTTGATTATTATGTTTACACTTGGCTTGCAGTTATGCGGGCCGCAAAACGCTGGCCAAGATCTGCCTGGTGCTAGTGTAGTCCCCCAGTAATGATCCCCGCCCGGCCAAAAAAGAAATCTCAATGCAAATCAACGGCAATTAATAATTCATCGCCCGCTGGGGCCTCCTTCCATGGCAATTATGCGGCCCAGGTCGTGAGAGCGGCGGAGAGAGTGGGACACACATAGAAGCTGCGAGCACAAGGAAACGGTAACACAATGCAGGCTAGAAAATTTTATGTGCAAGCGAGAGGGTGGATATGCAACTTACACAGACACACACCCATACTGATGGGAGGAGAAAGAACCGTTTAGTTAGAGGTGACAACTTGTGGCGAATTTTGGTGTGGGTGGTATTTTTACTGATCGATTGTCAAACGGTGCTGTAAAGTGCAAGAACTCAAATATCAAAACAAGAATAAGCGGGCTAATGAATTTTTTTGAAATTAATAAATTTATATAAACTAACTTAATAACTTTACAATCCCCCCTCGCATATCAAAGTAAATCTATTCCTATATTCAATAAAATAAATTTAATATGCAAAACAGCCGGACAAGAGCTACAGCAGCAGCAGCAACAAACTGCTCCAGTGGCCCGCCTGTCGTCCAATATCAGCAAATTTGCAATAAAATATTTGTCTGGCCGTCGCTTTCCGTTTGCTATGAGAGTGGTACTGGGTCCGCATATATGTACATATGTATGTATCTATCGTACGAGTACAAGAGGTAGGCCAAACAGTGGGTCGCCCAGTGGTCGCCGCCTGGTGGCCGTCGCGGCTACTGCAAATTATTTATTTGCACCTTTCGCCGCCATCGTCTGACTGGCCTCAACTCTCCTCTCCTCTACTTCCTCTTCCCTCCTTCTTGGCTCCTCAACGAACCACTGCGAACTGCATTTCCATTTGCTTATCAAATCGCTTGCAATCGAACGAATGAGAAATGCAGGGCAAATATAAATATTAGCTGGCTGGAATCGGCTGCCACAAGGAGACGTTGCTGCAACGGGATAGGGGTATGGGCCGAAGTAGAGGGGATCTAAGACTGGCGTATGAAATTAGGCGCTGCCAATGCGCCGCCAGCCATTCCCGACCTGTCCGATGTATGAAAAGTGTGAAAACGAATTAGTGGCCGAGCTCAGTGGAACTGCAAAGGCGCGCCCCAATAAAGGGGAAATTGAGGGCCGAGTGCCCAGAAAAAGAGGTCGCAAATGTTTTTCAAGTTTTGTGTCTAGAGATTTCTTATTGAGGGGCAAGGAATTTTAATCTTTGAACTATTTAGAAGTCTAAAGATGCAATATCTACCGAATCATCGAAAAGATTCCGATAGGCATCGATTAAAAGTCTCCAAAGATCGAATTTTCAGTTGTTTTCAGGAATTTCAATCCTTAAACTCTCTACGTTATTCCACACTCTTTTACCGCTAGTAAAGTTATCGAATTCACGAACAGATTCCGATAGGCTTCGATTAAACGTCTCCAAAAGCTCGAATTTCCAGTTGTTTTGAGGAATTTCTATCCCTAAACTCTTCACGTTAATCAACACTCCTTTACCACTCGATAGGAATCGATTATACGTCTCCAAAAGATCGAATTTCCAGTTGTTTCACAACTTTTCAAGTCGAATATTTGTGCCGATTAATTTATAGCCGCTCTTCGATCACAACTCTTTTTTGTATGCCCGAAACAGCTGTCTTCGAGCAACTTTCAACACACATGTCGCTGCGTCGTGCCCCACAAATGCCAAACCAGAGAGAACCAGAGTTAAATTGTCACTTGCACATGGGCGCCCAATAATTATAACAATGGGTGGGCCCGGGTGGGCCCCTCCCCCCCCTCAAACGATAGACGCAACATTGGAGCTGTAAACTGCATCGTGTTCACAAATTTGTTTGGCATTCCGCCGCCCAAACCCAAACGCAGCCTAGACGCCAGGCCGTTTTTGTTTTTTTTGGACACAGTCCGTCTGGGTCCATCGTCACATATGACAAATTTTGTTGTTGAAAATCGTGTATAGCCGTGTGTTGCGTGTGTGGCTTTTGGGGAGTGCGTGGCGTGGCGTGGCGCATGCGTGGAGTCGGTGACTATGACAAATCGCCACATGGCAGGCGGCCAATTAGCAAACCAGAGAACTCCATAGAAGAGAGAGAGAGAGAGAGACTGGTTTCGGTGGTGCCACCTGATAGACTTAAGATAAATGATACCCCCAAGGCACACAGGCTAAGCTCCTTTATTCCGTTCTGGCGATGGGTGGCGTCTTGAACGTGAACTGAACGTGCTGCAATGGACGGTAGTCGGTTTTGAAGAGCTCCACCTGAAGGACATTCCCGCGGTCGGACCAAAAGTTGCGATACTACAAAGAAAATAGACATCAGAAATCTCCAAAGAAGCTAGGGGCACACACATTTTTCTTATAAGCCTCCCAGATGTCGGGGGAACCCTTGAATTTGATCTTCAAAGGATATGAACTCTTGTCACGGCGTCGCAGCTTATAGACACTCTGGAGTAGCTCTACTGTCAGAAAGGGGCAATGGATGAACACGAGTTGCTTCAGTTTGGCATTGGCCAGGACAAAGTCCAAGACGTGTTCGTTCAACAGATTTGGACAATGGCAGAATACGGCATGCTTGTGGGTCACAGGCAGTCCCAGGTCTAACATTTCCAGATTGCCAAAATTGCAATCGATCAGCTCCAGGCCGTCCATAAAACGACAGCGCGATAGCTCCAAGGGTACGAGCTCCTGGGCGCTGTTGATGAAGCTACAATTCAAGCGAAAGATACGCAAATAGTCCTCCCGCTGGCGAATGATGTCCATCAGGGTCTTCATTGTGTCCTTGGATTGGGTGAGCTTCTTAATCTCCAGAATATGCAGCTTTGGCAGCCTAAAGATCTCCTCTTTGTTGTCCAGAAATACAGACTGATTCACCATCAGGTTTTCCATATGCTTGCACTGTGAGATGCCGTCGAGATCGGGCGAATGGGAGCCCACAAAGTGTAGCACTTTCAGGGGCAGGTCACTCGCCAGTATGTCCTTAAGGACCCAGGTCTCTACCTCGCCGTGGAAACGCAGCTCCTCCAGCATCTTGAACTGTTCAATGAAGCAGACCTCCAGCGGCGAATGAATCTCCAGGGAGCGGAGATTTTTCATCAGCGCCGGCAGGGCATAAAACGGCCACTGGGGGAAGGTGGTGGTGCGGCGCTGCACGGCCGTGCCCCACGTTATCTGGCAACGCTTGACGCTCGGCAGCTCCCTGATGCCCGCCTGGTCCAGGATGTTCATCTCATGCTGCAGCTGTTGGCTGCGAAAGTGAGCACTGCGAAAATCCTCAAACATTTTCTGTATAAACGTCTGCAGCGAAGAGCCACGCAGCTTCAGTTCGAGCTTCTGCAGATCCAGACAATGGTATTGCCGCCTCCAGATCGCATTGCACGCATCGGGCACGTTCTTGTAGACCCTCCCAAGGATCACCTGCTTGCTGACGTCCAGCTTTTTGATGATCGTCTGAACCTCGGCCAGTTTCTGTTGTTCAGTCGTCGATTCGCTGGATAGTCTTTTTTTTATCTTTGATTTGGAGCCAGTCGGTGCCATCCTTTGGACCAACAACAAGTGTGACGTTTTTTGTGTGTACTACTGCCCCAGACCCTGATTATCATGTGAATTAACACAGTATTTGAGTGGAAAATATATTGCTTACTGGGTTTCGTTCGCTGATCTCTCTCTCTCTCTCGATCTACAGTGCCGGTCTTTCAGTTTCCTGCGCTTTTAAAAGACTTTTCCTTGACGATTTTCAACAGGAAACAAGAATACTCTTTTCTCAGAAATTTTTAAATTTTCTATAAGATTGACTATTTTTTTGAAGCCCGACTTTATTGCCTTTCTTTTACAATTTTTTAAAAGAAAAATGGCCCCTCTCCTGTACTACCGATATTATTCGTGAGAGCTGCATCTAGCAGTATATTTCCAATAAAATTCTAAGAATTGGTATTTTTCCAATATAATACTAAGAATTGGTTTTTTTCCAATAAAATTTTAAGAATTTGTATTTTTTAAATAAAATACTTTAAATTAGTATTTTCAAATAAAATTGTAAGAATTGGTTTTTTTCCAATAAAATTTTAAGAATTGGTATTTTTCCAATAAAATGCTAAGAATTGGTATTTTAACAGTAAAATTCTAAAAATTGGTATTATTCCAATAAAATACTTCAAATTGGTATTTTCGAAATAAAAGAATCGAAGAATTGTTATTTTCATTTATCTTCTAGCATTTTTCCAATATTTGTAGGTTTTCATCTGAGAAAATGATTAGAAAACCAAAAGAACTTTTAGTTTTACTAAGAAATCAATGAAATGAGAAAATAATTTCAACCAAAATTGTGCTATATACAAAAAAGTGAAAACAAAAAAACCCGCAGTCTGATATTTAATGCATTTTTGAACTTCCTCAGCGTAGGGTTTCCTTAAATCTTATCCGATTCGTCTTATTTGTATTGTTTTGAGTCGATAAATCGATTCCCAATAAAAGTAAATACTAAATTGTTTTGAAGACATGATCAGAAAATTAAAAAAAAATATATTTTTCTAAAAAACAAATAACACAAAGGAAAAAAAATGCAGTAAAATTATAAAAACGATTTCTTCAACACAAAATAAATTTTCCCAATAGTTTATTTTGTTTTCTATTGACTTATAATAAACAATATGAGTGAATAATTTTCGTATCTTATTGTTTGTATTCCCAAAATTGCCTAGGCCGAAATCCTGTGCCCCCCACACTCACATTCTGCCTGACAATCTGGTCTATTGCTACAATTTCCCTACTCGTACGATATATTGTGGTAGTTCTAAAGGGGGGAGGGGTGTGGTGGGGGGATTGCGGGATTGCTTTTACCACCCTGCTGCGATCAGGCAACTAACGAGCCATGGATATGTTTTCATTTCAAACTGATTTTGTTTTATGGCACCCCAGGCATGGGGTCGCCTCCAAACCCGAAACCGAACCCGAACCCGCACCCGACCTGAACCTGAACTGATCGACGGGGACACCATCCACTTCCAGGTACTTTTCCAGGTGCTGCTGCGGCAGTTCTTGAAGCTCTCTCTGTTGCTGGCTTTCCACCAAAACTCTCTCTCTCGCTGGCTCTCTGCTAATGAGCCGCCAAGTTGTTTTGGTTCTTATTTATGGCTCATATCGCGGGTCTTTTGTTTCCAAAACATTTTGCTTTGGCATCAATTAAGCGATTACCAAAAAAAAAACAAGTTTCACCAACGAAAAACTAGTTAAAAAAATAAATATGAAAATTGAAATGTTTTATTAATATTTTTCAACAGCCTGGACGCCAGTTAATTAAATTTTTGTCTCGGTTTTTGCTGACACTTTGGACACTTTGCTTGGCCATTGGGTGGTTCCACATCCCAGACGTAGATGGGATTAGATTTGGATGGAGGGGATCTATGCCTTGAAATACAGGCGACAAAATGTTTCGCTAATGAAGTGGCAAGCGGTTTGCGAGGGGTTTTTGTGCCCCCAAATTTATAGAAACCTGGGAAATAACCATTCAACAAGCGCTTTACATTTTACAACTCTCAACAGAAACAAAAAACATTTATGGCCTTGTCGGGTGGGCCTAAACTGCAGAAACTTAGGCACAGATACAACAGCATAAACATAGATACATCGCTACAGATACAGATACGAATACGGATACGGATAGTCTTGCTGCCTGCTGCCCGCATTTTGGGGCGTTTACATTTGAGTTTTTTTTCGTGTCTTGCTTTTTGCTTTGAACTCGTTTAAATGTCGGAAAGTCTTTTTTTTGTCTATGGTTTTCTGCCTGTTTTCTGGCATTTGTGTAAATATTTTAATTATTTTTTTTTAAGGAAACGCCCCTTAAAATACTTGTAAATTTCACAAGTTCTTGATGTGATTGAGGATTGAAGAACTTTTTCAAAGAAACTATAGCTATATTCTCTCTTCAGATAAAAAGAAAAAAAAAACAAAAATTTAAAAAAAGAAATAAAATTAATTAATTAATAATAAATGAAACAAATAAATCATAATTAAAATTAAAAATTAAATTAAAAAAGTCTCCAAATAAAAAATAAATAAATACAAATAAAAATAATACAAGATATTTTTATAAATATATGTAAATACAAAATAAAAAAGTACAAAAATAAATATAAATTAAATTAATAAAAATGCATAGAAAAATAAATAATAATTAAATTGATAAAAACGAATTAAAAATTAAATTGAAAATATAAAAAGAAAAAGAAAAATAATAAAAAATGAATACAGATTAAATAGATAAATAAATAAAAATTAAAAAATAAATAAAAGCTTAAGTTAAATTAATACAAAAAAAATGTATTTAAAATCCCCATAAAAATACTAAAAAGATTTTAATTTTTGTACTTTTTTCAACGATAGATTATTAAAATTAATAAATTAAATATGAAACGCTTCCGTTTCACTGGATTTTCTGTCCCTAAAATGCCTTCGGTTTATTTGTCGATGAAAAAACATCTCGTGTGACGCCATGCTTCTTCTTGGAGGGACCTGCAACGATGCTTTCTCATTAGCGGCTCATTAGTACGGCCAATTGACGCCTCCATGCCCCCCACAAGGTGGCATCCGTTGGCGGAAAGAGGAGGAACACCTCGTTTGCGATTGAGGGGGATTGAGGGGGCAAGGGAGTGGAAAAGCTGATTACAATGCGCAGCCAATCACCCAGAGAATCCCTCTGGCCGCCCGTCGTTCGGGGCTGCAATTATTTGCACGCAAATAAACAATTCAAAACATCTTTGGGGCGTTTATCACTGGCCTCTCTTGATGGCCTGGCTGGCTCTGTTGGCGTTTAATTTTACGGCTTTATTAGCAGGGGCCCAACCGCTCACTCGGTCGCTCAGTCGCTCATTCGCTCAGTCGGGTCCATGCCCGGTAATTTGACGGCCCCCAGGGCTACCACCTGCATTCAACAATTTTGAGCTACTGTCCGACGAGCCATCGGTGCAGCGATGGAAGTGTGTCTTCAATGGAGGAATGGGGGACGATTGGGGGGAATTATGTGTTTTTTTGGTTTGTTAAAATTAAGAGAACTAGAATCTGATTGAGATGTGGGATAATTACATCCGAAATGTTTATTTTTTGCAGAGGGAATCTTAAGCTGACTTTAGTGGAATTTTCTACCCACTTTAAGGACATTTTTTCTGGTCATTGAACCCTTTTTTTTGGCAATGACTTCTTGAGACTTGATCGCACATTTTCCTTATCAATCACGTGGTATCTACGGACATTTCGTTTGCTCTTCATTCCATGCCCCTCGTTAAGTTTTGATTTATGCACTCAATTTCTGTGCAGGAATGTTTATACCCCGATTATTGCTGGGCATTCAATTGCGTTAGTTTATGCCGAAAGCAACATTCAATAATAACAATAATGATAGCAGCTCCATGGATTTTATGTGCAAAAGGAAGACACTCGGTAAACCGGACTCTGGCGGCGGCGGCCCCCACAGTCGGTAGGGGATTGCCTAGCAGGCGTCTGCGTGTGGCATTTATGTCCAACTGTCAGGCGTACAGATGACAGGCCTTAAGACTGGGTGACAATGTTGCCCTGAAAGACACGGGACAGGGTCTTCCTTTTAGTCCTCCCCTACTCTTAGTCCTTTCCTGATCTTCCTTCGTTTGAGGCTTCCCTACTCTCTCCCCTTTCTTGATCTTCCTTCTCTTGAGGCCTTCCTACTCTCCCCCCTTTCTTGATCTTCCTTCTCTTGAGGCATGTCTACTCTCCCCTCTTCTGATGTTCCTACTCTTGAGGCTAATTGCCATTTACACCTAAAAACTGCAATCAAATGGGATACCTTTCTGAGGCTTTAACTAATTTGGGAATGAAATCTAGTGAAGAAAACTCTTGCTAGACTTGGTGATGCCCTGGAAAAAGGTTTGAGCTATTAAATGATCCATTATGATTAATAGAGCATTAATTGGTAGTACCTTTACTTGAAAAAAGAGATCAGGGAGCCCTTTATCAGTGTTTGCTGTTCTCTAGAGTGACTAAGGGCTAAATTTCGCGGAAATTCTAAAGCTTTAGACCTGAAAATGTATAGAAATCTTCCCTTTTTTATATAAGAATATTAAAATGATATAATTTTTCTTCAGATCCATATTAAAGATATATTTTCAGGGATTAATATACAAAAAAATGTAATTATTGCCCTAAAAACGTATTAGGGTAACAACTGTCGGTTCTAAGACTTACGCGTCATGCAGCAGCGCCCCTCGATTGGGAAAAAAGCTTCGTGTGAATAAAAACCAAACTGCAGAACATTTCTAATGCAACTCCTAGACATACCCCCCTTTGACACCCTTTAAATCGTTTTAGAGATATGTATATAGACATCATCAAAAAAAAAAACCAAAAAACGTATCTCATTTGTGTAGCATTTACCATTTTTGATGGGTTTCGAAACAAAAAAACCCATTTTTATGGGCCATGTCCAATAGGGCTTTCAATCGTTAATTTTTTTGGGGTGTGGGGGGAATTCACCAATAACAAAATACCAGAAAAACGTTTACATACGTAATAAAAATTCCTTAAATTTTTAATTTT